AGATGGGGAAAACATCCCATGGTGAGTCCAGGAATAAACTAGTCACTCAGAGGGGATACTTGTGATCCTGTCCTAGCCTCAACTTCTGTGGCTGGATTTTAGCCAGAAAAGCTTCCAAGAGCCTCCTTTTGTGACATTAACAGGTGCTAACTTTCTTGTCCTTTCATTGATTGCCTTCTTGGAAGAGCCACGGGAGGGGAGATGAGGAGAGCAGCTGACTCCCTCTGACCAGCAGATTTCCTGGAGTCTGAGGCAGATTCTAACCCCCACCTCCAAACTTCCTCAGATGGAGAAAGAAGGCTTCCTGCACCACAGTCAGGGGAAGGGGACAGGGACAGTGGGCAACGAGGAGCGAATGGACAACACCCAACTACAGAGCAGCCACCACTAGCAAGTTTCTGTTCAGACAGAGAAAACCAGCGGTGGGCATCATGGTCAAGACACTGGTTGGGACGCAAGGGTCTGGGTTCAAGCCCCAGCTCTGCTCTGATTCCAGTTTCCTGCTAATATAGACCCTGGGAGGTGGGAGTGATGGCCCAAGTAGCTGGGTACTTGCTAGTTGGGTTGGGTTCTCATGCTGGTCGGCCACTGCAGGGATCTGGGGCGTGAACCAGCAGATAGAAGTGTACATTGTCTATTTGTCTGTCTCCCTCTGCCTCTCAAAGAAACCAAAAACCAAAACCAGAAAAGCGATCTTTTTCAGCTGATTTGCATGAGTTCATGTTTCAGTGCCTGCCTGCTAGAAGGGACACACACACACACACACACAAGTGCATATCTTTGGGTGGGTACTCTGAAAACATAATCCCAAAACTTGAAAGGAAAGATAAACACATTTTAACAAACAAAGGACATAATGCATTTTTCTTAACATTGAAAAATTGGGTAAGATAGTTACAAGGGAAGATTATAATAATAAATCACATACAGTTGTGTATGTGTGTTTAAAGGATGGGTTGTAAACAAATGAAGACTAGCCTAACTTCATAGGAAACACCACTGATGTTAGGTATGCCTGTTCCCAAGTGCTGCTTCTCACATACAAAAAGCTCTGCACATGACCAAATCAATGCAGCAACAGCATTCACAAATTCTCCCCTGAATCTGTCTTCTCCAGTGGGTGTTGGTGGTAGGATAAATAGAACAATTAATTGCTTCCAATTATTGCTCAATAGATATTGACACATAGGAACTGAATCTGTGGCAAATTGCCCTCACTGTATTCTATTCATATTTCTTCATGTCTCTCCAGCTTGTGAAGAACACAAGTTACATAGAAAAATGAACACACCAGAAACAAGATGTCATGTGGCCAAGAAGTTTCTAGAGTGTCTCTCCCCAGTACTACAGACAACAGGGATCAGGACCTTAAATGGACCACATTCTCTCTTACAGACACACACATTCATTTCCACTCATCTGGCCTGAATTCTAAGCTTTCTCTCTGCCTGGACAATCGATACACTCTTTAAGCATTAATGATCACTTTGTCTGAGACACCTCCAGAGCCCTATGTCTGAGTTAACGTTTGCTTCTCCCCACTTTCTAATGCCATTACCTGTTTAACCGTGTCTTTCCCAAGAGCGTGCAAAGGCACTCCACGAGGGCGGCTTCATGCACTCTGCACCTTCCCTTGTGGAGTACCTCTATTAGGCCTTTAATAATGAGGACAAAACAAACCAGCACTGTTTGGAAGAGGCTCTACGCGCTGTGAAAGTGAGGGGAGTGCGGTCAAGAACAACCTTTCAGACTGCGACTTCCTTCCTTCTGGAAGGAAGTGGAGAAGCTCTTTGCCACTCATGGGAGTATACCCCCGAGATCTTCTTTCCAGTGATAAGGAGTACTTTGGGGACTCACCAGTATCCACACTGGGGCCACTCTTCCTGCGATGCACCATGTGATATCTAGACCTAGTAGGGGAGTGAGAACTGGGCCACCTTGTGCAATGCAGTCCTCCTCCTGGGTCTGCTGAGGGCTTGGCCAAACCTTCCTTAAAGTTGCCTATAAAGAAGCTCCTGGGAGACTCCCTTTTTCTTTCCGAGGTGTCAGCCCCACACTGTCGTCCTAATATTCCCTGCCACTACGCAGGCAGTCCCTTCCTGCCAAAACCTATCCTTGCACTTCAAGTTCCATTCTGGTGCCTGCTGTACCAAAGCCTACAGTGAGCAACCACCAAGTATGGTGGGCTGGTGTGATCAGATTACTCAGCGCCATTTCAGCTGATGGAACACCCAAAGAGCAGAAAATGGTGTTCATAGATAAATTTCATTTGCTGCCAAAAACTTAGAAATCAGTGCATATTTTTCCTTATATGCATTTTCATGAATTTTTGAAGACCCTGTACATGAATGGACTTCAAAATTTTTTTTTCATCCAAGGAAATTCATCTTTAAATTCTATTTTCCAGGAACAAAAAAAGAAGGAGAGAGAGAAGGGGTGTGGGAGAGAGGGCGCTCCCATCTGCTAGTTCATTCCCAAAATGTCCCCAACAGCCAGGGTGAGGCCTGGGAGAAGCCAGACGCCAGGAACTCAATCGAGATCTCCTACATGGGTGGCAGGGACTCAACTATTTGACCCATCATCTGATGCTGCCCAAGGTTCACATTAGCAGGAAGCTGGAATTGAGAGCAGAGCGAGATACTGAACTCAGGCCCTCTGATAGGAAATGCAGGTGTCCCAAGTGGCAGCTGACCCAGTAGGCCAAACGTCCACCTCCATGAGCTGCCTGAAGTACCACTGTATATAAGATTCTTCCTAACAAAAGACTGCATTTAATGAGAAATTAACATTGTAAGATACGACTCCCAGAGCTGAAGAAATGAAAGCCATTTCTGATCTGCAACAGAAATCCATATTGATTTTTCCCTTTACACATCTCCATCATCATTTGCAAGCCAGAGCCGCTGTGAAGGGCACAATTATTTATGCCTTTTCAAATTAACAGATCATACAAATCCCTCACAGCACCTTCCTCTGAGAATACTTCTAATTCCAGCCAAAGGTTTTTTCTTTTTTTATTTTTAAACTATTTCAAACGTCCATTCCCTTTTGGAAGGATGATATAAGCCTACTGCTTCCTCTTCCCAATCAAAGCGAAACCCAAGTGGGCATTAGTGTGCTCCCTTTCATGCAGTTTTCCATTTTGCACTGTCACTTTCACGTCTGTATTTGACTCCACCACTTGGCTAACATCTACCAGGCTGACACTTGCCAGGGACAATGAGCTACACACACCTGGTTTCCGGCCCTCCTGAAGCTCAAGACGTCAGGAGATGAGTACATACACACGTAGCGTTATTTCAGACACATTAGGTGCTTTGAGGAAAGACACCTGGGATGATGTGACAGACAGTGATGGGAGTGGCAGGATTTGGGATTTAATAGGATAATTAACAAAAAACTTTATAAGGAGCAAGATCTGAACAGACAGCTGAAGCCTAAGACGGAGATGCCTGTGGTGTAAGCAAGGGACAGACTCTGCAGTAGAGGATCCAGCACAGGCTGGCAGGGGTGACACGCGGGGCCACCTAGGGGAAGAGGAAGGCATCACTTCCCTTCCCTTCTAAGCTCTGGAGGGCGGGCCTGGGCCTGGCTTCGTCAGTGTTCTAATTCTGGGTTAGGAGAGTAGGCAAGCAACATAATCTTGCTGAACAAGTAAGCAGACTTCCTGTCTAGGTAGCTATTTTTTGCAGGTCTCCTCTGACTTCCCAATTAATGAGTAGTGTTAAACGCACATCCCAGGCATCACGGCAAGCCTCCACAAGCCAGCTGATGCGTTCCCACATCCAGAACATTCGTGTTCCCACCCAAATTCATACACTGAAATCCAACACCCGAGCTGAGGCCTTTGTAAGGTCGTTGTCATGAGGATGGAGCCCTCATGAACATGATTTTCTCCTGCGGCCAAGATTAGGTACTGGGAAGAAGCAATGGAGACACTTCCTAAAATTCCTAAAATGAACTCCTCTGTGGGGTATTTTGCTTTACCCTATTTTTTCCACCTGGGTTTTTTTTTTTTTTTTTTTTTTTTTTTCACTGTGACCTGCTGCAATACCGAACAATTATGAGGACAGAACAATTAAACCCAAAGTCTACTTGGTTCCACAACACCCTGACAACTGGTGTTGAGTCCCCCTGAAGGAGGAGGGAGGACGTGTGGTAAGCTCTACAGCGTTCACTCTGTCTAAAGACAATCCTCCCCACAAAGTGGGACGGCATTTTATCACAGCTGTGGGAATGAAGGGGAGATTTATGATGGTTACTAATGCCATTTCTGTCAATGTCTTTGGAATTCTAATTAGATTATTAAAACTTTTGCAAATCATTACACTACATAGGCGCTCCCCACCTCACTGCGACAAGGGTACTTTTGAAATTAGAGGATCCTGATGTCACAGGTAATGATGCATTGCTGATAATAAAGCTGGCAGGGAAACTCCTCCAATAAAAACCAGTTGGAAAAGACAGAACCCATTTATCTTACTTTCTCTCCCAGTATTCTGCCTGAGGATAAGAAGCCTGCTACACAGAGGATCGGCCAAACCTTTGTCCATTCTAATAGCCGCGTGAGCCTTACGCACAGGCTGCGAAGTTTAATAACTGTTCTGTGCACTTATATTTTTCCCCTAAATCAGAGAGGCAAATGAAGAAGTTTTGTAAATGGGAAGAGACTTGAAAAAAGAGTACTTTTAGGACAGAGATGAGACAAATGGTAGGTTCATCACCTAGAAATACTACATCTTAGGGCATCCTGATTGATAACCTATGCATTGAGAGAGGTACCTGAAAAGAAATAAATTGCTTACTGTTAACCCAGTCCCATTTGCAGGTAACAAATGGGCCTGCTCTTTACCCATCAAATAATGGCTCAAACGCCCTTGCTCATCAGTGGATGAGCAATGGGTGTCACCCTCTGTCCTCTGCGAGATAACCTGATTCCTTTAGGTGGAGATCTGAGCCCGTCACATCCCAGCAACAGGAAGTAAATGTGGCTTACTTACCATGATGTACGACGCCCTTCAACCCGTGGATAATAGGATCCAGTGCGGAATTGTCCCTTGGACTGACCTACATGTAAAGGAAACATGATTGGTTAAATCTATCCTGGCATCAGACACAACAGCCTCAGTTTAATCTTCTAAAGATGAGGGGCGAAAAATAGATGTTATCTAGCAAGCTGCTCAGGTCTCACTTACAACTATGGCTCTCACCAAATGCAGGCGATTTATGACATAATAAAATCAAGTGAGGAAGTCTAAATCAAAAGAAAGAAACTTCTCAGAATACATTATAACAGGAACAAAATACCACACTCCTAGCAAAACCCTAAAAAGCAACCACAAGACTTTCCTCTTGCTTTGTTTTATTAAGAGTCGGTCCTGATGGGCTAAGAAGTCATGGAAAGTCATCAGAGGGCAATCCATCACTAACTGCATCTTTCAGCACCTTCTGGTTACTGTGTTTTTCTCTTCTTTTTAGAAAATGTATCAGTGCCCTGCCAGCCTGTACAATTTAGAAGGTTCCCAATCCCCTGTGAGAAATCACACACACTTTAAGCAGCATTTCTAAGAATTACTCAAAGCTAAAGAGGAAGGCAAGAACAGCTCAGAGAGGGTCTCCCGCCCTCATTTCCTCCTGGACTTTTTAACCCTCCCCTCACCCCCACCAAAGTCAAGCCTCTTTGAATTGATCCCATAATTTCCTAATGCTACTGAGCAGAAATTCCCATGCCTGCCTTTTCAAGAAGATTAAAATCCCATGAGCATACTAAAATTACTGTTTTAAGACTCTTTCTTTTAGAGGAAATGATATCCTGAAATGTGCTGCAAAATTGTGCAAAAGTGGACAGCAGGGGGCATGAGTGGGGTATAGATGCAGGAAGAGCAGCCTTGAATCAATCACATATGACCTTGGGTGATGAGTATAGAGAGGGGTCATGTTATCATTTTCTTTACTTTGGTGTTTGTTGAAAATTTCCAAAAACTAAAGTTTTTTTTTTTTTTTTCAAAATTCATGATCTATGATCAGCATAGCTCTGCCTTTCTTCTTTCTCAGGGATAGCATTTACATTTAATCCACTTCTAACATAATGAAGTTGACATATTGACGAACCTCTCAGTGTGTAGCAACACCCAACTTGATGTTTCCAAGTTAATGCAGAAGCTACCCTAGATGGAATTTTAATGAGTCAGAACATCTTCCACGCTCTTTCCCACCTTGGCAAATGCCCCCTGTGGGGCTCCTGGTTTGCTGCTCTTTCTGACAATAATAACCCAGACTTCACATACCGCTCTCCTCCTCTGCCCCAGCATCTCCTGGTGAGAGCAGTGGTTCTAAAGCGAACATGACTGTGTTCTCCCAGGTGAGCAGTGATTACGTCTGGAGACATTGCTTCCTGCAACAACTATGGTTTCTGGGTAAGAAAAGGGAGAAGGGCTACTAGGAAGAGGCCAGAGTAGCTACTAAGCATCTTCAGAAGATACCCCACCCCTCTAACCCCAACTCCCGCTGAACGCATTATCTGCCTGAGTTGTCAGTGGTGTAGAGGTTGAGGCTGAAAAAGCCTGATTAGAAGTTCTAGGAGTTAACAGGAATTGCATCTTCTCATCTGAGGTCCCAAGCTAAGTCTAAATTCGGAACACAGGTACCGTTATATACAGTGTCATGTTTATAGAGTAGTAAAAAGATGTGGAGTTCCATACATCATAAACACTGGGAAGGATGAAAAAAAGGATCACTCAATGGAGACCCAGTTGTACCAGATCACAAAAGTGGAATTTTGGGGGCTGGCATGAATGCACCTCCAAATTGCCTAAGAGGACACTCGAGCCAGGGGTCTCACACAGTGTTTGAAGCATTCAACATTCCTGAAGGCAAACATCCACAGGACACACCAAATTAAAATCCCATTTGCACTGTGGCAAAAAAGAGAATCACAACTCAAGAATGCAAGATAAGAGAACATAACTGGTAAGGGTGTCCAAAGCTCAGAACAGAATAAAATAAGAGTCCAGAGAAATACCTCACATTGGGTTAAAGTTGTAAGCAAAATCTTTCTGACTCAGTGTATGATGCTCGTACCAGGCAAACCACCTATAGTTACCCTAGGATCTCTAGGAGACGGCCAAATAGCCACCTATTCCTCTCATCCTTGTCTCATGCAACTTTGGACTTCAGATTTTTCTACTTTTCTACCAAGTGGATATGCTAATGCCTCTGTCCATCAATACTGTGCTTGTCCACATAACTTGCTTTAGTTACTGGGAAATTAGCGGACGTGATGCAGACAGACTTAACATTGGAATCTTGAATCTACCAAGTGGAGAATCCCAAATTAGCCTTCTCGAAGATGAGAGACCACACACAGCCAGCACAGACAGAGGCAAAGGAGGTCTTTTTACTTACTGCCAATACTGCACAGCCATGTGAGTCTATCTGAGCCCATCAGGCCTCAGGTGAACCACTGGCAGTACACAGGAAGCATCTAAACTGTACCCAACCAGAACTGATCGGCCAACCCACAGAATCATTCAATAGTAAGATGCCTTTCGTTTTAATAATTGAACATCATTTGACCACAATTTAGTGGCTATGAGTGTAGAGACGGAAGATGGGGGATAGTCACTCACAGTAATTGTTTTCTTCACCAATATACTTTGCTTATGGTTTGTCTTAATGGTTTCCCAGTGAGATTCCACATCACAAGACCCAGCATTTGCTGTCCTCCCGATCAGCTCCTGTGGCTCCTCCCAATGACAACGTTTCCCAGCCACGCAGCCCTCTTATCTACAGTTTTGCTTTCTGAGATTTCAGTTACTTGTGGTCAACGACAGCCTGACAATATTACATAGAAAACCCAGAAACAAAGCACTTGTAAGTTTTAAATTGCACCCCAGACTGAGTAGTGTGATGAAATCTTGGGCTGTCCCATCCTGCCCTTCCTGGAAAGTGAATTAATCCTTTGCCCAGTGTGTCTATACTGCATATGCTACCAGCCCTTAGTCATTTATAGCCGTCTCTATTTTCAAATCAACTGCCAAAATGTCATAGTGCTTGCTTCAAGTAGCTCTTACTGAACTGAATAATGGGCCCAAGGTGGAAGAGTAGTGATGCTGGCAATTCTGTTACAGTACATTGTTCTACTACATTACTATTGTTCATCTATTTCTGTGATGAACTGATCAACTCAACTTTATCATATCTATAAAAAAACAATATCAAGGTACTTCAAAAATTTCATGAAAAATGGAATTAAAAGAGAAATTTCTGGAGCTGGCACTGTGGCATAGTGGGGTTAAGCCACTGCCTACACTGCTTGTATCCCATATGAGTACCAGTTTTAGTCCCATCTGCTCCACTTCCCATTTGGCTCTCTGGTAATGTGTTTGAGAAAGCACAGACCATGGCCCAGATGCCCGAGGCCTTGCCACCCAGTGGGAGACCTGGATGAAGCTCCAAGCTGTTGGTTTGGCCTGGCCCAGTCCTGGCCACTGTGGCCGTTTGAGGAGTGAACTAGTAGATGGAAGATCTCTCTTTCTTTGTCTCTTCCTCTTTCTCCTTCTCCTTCCCTCCCCCTCTCCGTCCCCTCTCTGTCTGTTTCTCCTCTCTCTCTCTCTCTCTGTAACCCTAGCTTTCAAATAAGTAAATATTTTTTAATAAAGGGCTATTTGCTTTGGTATTTTCAATTTTGAAATCCCTATCTAGTTTTTTCATAATAACCATTTTCCATGAACTTTTGAAAGACCCCATATATGCATGATAGCAAGTATTTTGTACCAAAAAAAAAAAAAACCTTACTCATTTTTCTCATAACTTTCTGCAACACCTGGTATATAGAGTTCAGTGGTATCCAAGGTTTCGGATACTGAGAGTACTGGAATGTATCCTCTGTGGATAAGGGGGAAAGCCTGTTCTTTGCTCTTCCATCCCAAATGAGAGAAGATGTTTGCAGGGGAAACCTTTAACACACTTAGTTTTGGCTGATGATGTCAAGGTTCCAAAAGCATTCTCCGAATCTTCCACAAGTGACACCCACCAACAATATTTGTGGGCCATGTAAAACGAAGTCAGCACGCAATGCCATTTCTGATCATTTGTGATCACAGCATCTCTGTGCTTGAGTCTCAGACCAGGCCTCACCTGAGCCCAAGAGCCTGACTCCAGATTCTAAGCTCTATCATCAATGGAAAGGTGTCTTCTCCACTGTTCACCAGGCCCCAAAGCGCCCCCTGCTGGCTTATGTGGTCGGGGTTGAGAATGTGGGTGCAGAGAAACAGAGAGGAAAACAGCAATCATTGGCTGGCCCAAATAACTTACTAATAACACTGAGATCATTTTCCGGTCTAAGCTTTAGTTCCAAAACTCAGGGTGGAGATTCAAAATAGCAAGGCTCAACCCATACTGAAATAATCCCTTCCACTCACTGTTTCAAAAATTTGCCACTTAAAAAAATCCTTGATATAAGCTAAGCAATTTGGGTAAATTGTAAACATGACAACAGCAAAGAGTGGTGTTTTACTAACCCATGTTCTTGTTCTGTTTCCATTCCAAGGCAGAGGAGGCCAGGGGATGGAGAAAAATAGAATTCTCAACACTTTAAGGGTTTGAGTTCCTTGTCTGTGAGATGGGTATAAAAATCTCCTAATGTTGCTATGAGAATTAAAACTGTCAAGCTTAGAATGTAATACCAATTACAAATGCAGAATCTGTTAGGGAAGGGTAATATTGGGCAAGAAGTTGACCTACACCTAAAACCTCTAAATGAATGTCCAAGAACCGCTTTTCTAGCCATGAGCTTCTTCATGTGTATGGCTCTCAAAGTCATACTTCTTTGAGTTCAAATTTCAAAAGATCCAAATATATGTTTTATTTGACATCTGCTCAATTTTGTAATATGCTGCTCCTTTTAAAGCCACATGAGGAGTTTTCCTGGCACTTGAAATCTGCTTCCTTCCACTTTAAGATCAAAGGAGCTATGCAGTAATATGGAGAAGGCAGCAATTGTACAAATGAGCTTAAAATGGACTAGAAGAAACAGACACCCCTTTCCCTGCAGAGTCGGCGCTCTC